AACGAATGGAAAACAACTGTCATATTCCTGACTTGGTACAGGCATTTCCTTGATATGTACAAAATGGTGGATTAAACCTGGTTTTATAGCTAGCTAAACCTCTCACTTGTATGACAGTCGCATAAAATTCCATTATATTGACAACAATGTGTGAACAAAACAAACAGATATAATAGGTAAAAATGTCAAAAAATAGGGGTACAGCAGTCAACATTGTATTATAATCTTAATCACTATAAAAACAAAAACATATGTTAACAAAGAAAAACAAAATGGCATATATACAAATCACATAAGAAAAAATGAAAGACCAGAATACAAAATTGACCGTAGCACAATAACACAATGGCGGGATGTATAAGAACAGAGCCACGCTAAAAGGATATTACCAAAAATCGACTAAACAGTAAAGGTTAATAATTTACAAAGACAATTGAAAATACACTATACAATTAAGATGATAAACAACGTCAGTACCTAGAATCTATACTTCAAGACCATCATGTATTATTTGTGAAGTTGATACGGAATACTAGTATTTATCAACAAGGTCTTGGTATCTTCCGATTAACTTTTTTAGAAAAGGGACTAGACGTTCTTTGACATAACCCTGGTTCATCAACTTTCTGCTCAGACACTGGTGACGTTTTATAAAGTCTGAGTAATAGCTGCAAGCTCTTGAATACCGAATGAGTTGGGAAATGTATATCCCATATGCAGGTGAAGTTTGTATATTGCTACTAAGGTGGGGGAAGTTGATAATTTCAATATTAAAATCGTCTCGTTTGTCAAATATTCTGGTAATGAGATGACCACTCATGTCAAATTCGAGGTATAAGTCTAGTAATGAGGCGGAGGAAGTCGTGTCTGTTGTTTCTTTAATTTCTAGTTCTGAGGGATATATTAATGGAACCCAATCAGAAAAGTTTGGATTGTTAATGGAAAGAACATCATCAATATATCTGAATGTGAAATTAAATGATCTAGCTTTTTTGATCTTCTTGTTTTTGACAAGTGTCTGAAAGAACTCCGACTCATATGAAAATAAGAAGAGGTCGGCAAGGAGAGGCGCACAGTTCGTTCCCATAGGAATGCCGACAATTTGTTGAAAAAGTCTACCTCCAAATTCAACAAATATGTTGTCAATAAGAAACTCCAGCATACTGATCACTTGTTCCTCTGTCTAGCATGTTTTACCATTTGGTTCACTTTTAACAAAATATGCCGTATGGTATCCCAAAGTAATAAATTTGTAGCGTATGCTACCATTTTAATATTGAAAAGCATTGTGGATTATTTCTTTTAGACGATTTTTCAATTTTACATGGGGAATGGTGGTATACAGGGTTGAAAAACCAAAAGTTTTGATAGAATAGATTTCAGAGAAAGATCGAGATTAAAATTATCCAAAAGTTCTTTAGAGTTTTTTAGAATCCACATATGGATAATACCACTACGCGAGTAAACAGTTTCACAATATTTCTGAAGACCCTCTTTCACTGCGGACAGAATTTTTGTCAATCTAATGGACAATTCCTTTGTAGAACATGCAGATGAGCCGGCAATGTACCGTTGTTTGTACAGAATTTTGTGAAGCTTAGGTATCAAATACAAACAAGGTAAGTCCTCAGATTTGCTGTTCAATGTAATGTTCATTGAAGCCATGAAGGACTTATGATTTGCCAAAATCTCATCCTTGTCAAATGATATGTTTTTGTATGTGGGATTACCTGAGTGCTTATTTATTCCTAATTCTCTTTTAAAAAAGACACTCGTAGTAGTACGATTTACATACAAAGACGATATTATTTGTCCACCGGAACAACAACATATTTATCGTGAAAAGATAATAGACATTTCACAGCTTCTTTGTCTCTGAAAACGGACTTTGGTTGATCATTCACACAGTTTTTCAACTTCTGAATTCGACGTTTTATCAGAGACCTGATTGTTTTGACCCATTCTGACAAAGTAGTGTCCAGTTCAACTTCTTCTCGTTATGCCCATGCTCTGGGGTAGTCCTCAATGGAATCCATAATTATTTTGAAGTTATGGTTCGAATTGATGTGTTGGGGTTCTCTGAACTTAGGACCATGAGATATCACCTTTCGGAGATGTTCATGTTGAATTATGATTAGATCCCCAGTAATAACATGGCCAAAGGGGCTGTAAATATAAGGCGAGTGGGAACAGTCACATGTCAGAGTTTTTTTTTAGATATTCTTCTAAATCAAAGTCCTGCAATGCTTGCTTATAGTTAAATACTTTAGGTGCAATGGTTTTGATGTAACTGTAAGAAACAATAGGTACAGACTCATTTTGAAAATAAAGTGGAATTTTAGACGTTACCTCTTTGTGATGAAGAACGTTGCTGATGTTGATAGCATCAATTCCTTTAGTAGTAACCTGAACTGGAAGGAATTTCTTCTTTTCGTTATGTAAAGGTTCCGAATTATACTGACCAGTCTGTATATTGAAGAAAATGTATTCATGCATCCCTTGTCAAGTTCATAATCTCTCAAACATTTTAGAAAATTAACATGCAGGCAGTGAAAAAAGAATAGTTCTAATGTAATGTAACCCTAGTGGATGATGAAGATGTTAAAGAAGGTCATCAAAGCTACCGGAGGGCGATCTAGATTTGGAAGACTTTTTTACATTGGGCCGATGGTAACGTTTTTGCCCATGACTACGCTGGTGTCTTAATGTAGTATTAAGTAGCTCATTACATGTACATCACTGCAGGCTGGACTTGACAAATTTCCTACTCCTTTGGTGTTATCATTGCAACCATATGGCATTGCAGAACCTAGTTCCCTTATCCAGAAATTTTCTCTATCTTTTCGGAAAGGAGTACTTAGTATAGGGCTATTGGTGTGGTGCTAAATTTTCTCGATGATGCGTACTTTCATAGATAAAGAAGGATCATGGTCCGGTTGATTTAAATGGTTATGAAGAACCCTGAATTGCGGATCTTTATTATCAGACCGGTGTTGATTCATCCTTTTACGCAAAATTTGTCGAGGTTCACCAACACAAAGTAGTCCACATAAAGTACATTCAATTCCGTAAACGACAGAGGCTCAAAAGATTTTGTATTTTTGTATCATAAGTTTTTCCTGTTAAGTACTAGTGAAATCTGGAGTCGTGATTAACATACATGTGCAAGAATATGTCACAGTTCCAAGCGATATCACCCAATCTGTTTATATTGGACAGTAGAGTCGTTGCATTTACTAATCTTGTTAATAGTATAGACTGTCCCTGTTTAAACTGACTTTTCTGACATCAAAATATAGCTTATTGACAGGAGTATTCAACAGTATGTGTTAATAGTATTTCCTCCGCATATTAAGTGTGCTTCAATTTATTTAGTTACTGCTGTCTCGTTTCTTTTGAGGTAATTCATCGATATTTACTGATGTGAGTAAGTGAATTTAGATAATGAAATTTCGAAAAATCGGAGACCTAACAATGAGATAAGATAAACTGATCTATGTAGAATTCGGTCGTATGTGTTAAGAATTCAGATGATTAATAAAAATAATATGAAGAATTAATGAAGGGTACCCATTTATTTTCCCATTACTTTCTATGTTAATCGAACATCATTAAAAACATTGCATCCCGGGTGTCGCTGATAAGGGTTATCCGCCATTAGTGTCTTTCATTCTTGGGTATGTTACATGTCTTACACGTGCTCCTTTTTAATGTTTACAAGTAGAAATGATAGTTGATTCACTTATAGCAGGTGTCTTTAAACAGTCGAAAATATTAACAGTACATGGTTTTAGTTTTTGAAAAGTATCTGAATTTTTAAAGGAATAATTACCTTCTGACCGTATATTAGTCAAATCAGGGGTATCCTGATTTGTCACGGTAGTAGTAAAAGGTTGATCCCTGTACGAATTGAAATGTTAACCCAATGGAAAAATGGGTAATTGTTGTGTCAAAGATGTTGTACTAGCACTGGGATGGTACAGCTGTTGGTGAACTATCAGCCAGAAGGGTACCATTCGTTCAGTACTTGTCGTCATGATTTAAATTAAATGTTTTTGTCTATGAATTTCCCATCCATAAAATTAGTTCATTGTGTTAAAGCTAAAGTTGCAGTGCCCTCGCGTAAAGATGACCCAAATAGTTCTGTTTTGTTTAGGCTCTGTATCATATTTTTTTCAAGCAGTCACTGAACCATGAAAATGAGGTCAAGGACAATGGACATATGACAGACAGAAATTTCGTAACATAAAGTATCTGTATACAAGGTATGAAGCATCCAGGTCTTCTACCTTCTGAAATATAAAGCTTAATACCAATAGTTTACGCAGCCGCTACGAGTGGATTGTAATCCCTATGTCTTACATTCTGCGACTTCTGTCGCAGGCGAGACAAAAAATATCAAAAAAATGACTAGAATGTAGATAATAATGTGTAAATTGGAAGTGATGGCTAAAATACAGAATGCTGAACTTGATTTTATCAGTTGAAATACCTTCTGGAATAAGTATGTTACCTTACTTGCTTTTTTCACCTTGCTAATATTTTTACCTGAATGATTATACATAATCAACTGTCACTATATGTTTGATATAACACAGGAAACTCCCAGCTATTCATATAAACCTCTTATACTTCAATATTCTGAGGATAATATACAGCCACTTTAAAATAGACCTAAGTGGGATTCTTTAATTTAAAAATAAATATCTATAAACTTTAGGGTTCACTACTATGAATATCGGACCACAAATTAGACACAATAAGACAGAGGATCCAATTATAGCATCATGTTTAGTTTGCATTTAAAATAAAGCAAGACCTAGTATTTGAATATCTGATATTTCTTTACTAAGAAACACTAGCAGCAATTCAATATGCCATGTGTATATGTAAAACCTCCCTAAATCTTCGAATTTTGAAGAGGCAAACTGATTTTAGTTGGAAAAGTGCATGCACAAAATTTACTAACCAAAACTGCCAATAAAAAGTACAAGAACAAATAAGCATGAAATAACTTATATTATACTGCAAATAAAATATGCATTAAACAATCATTAACAATAAAGTTTTAACTTAATGCAAATATCTACTACAATTGGCAACAATAATGACATAATGACATGTAAGAAAGAAATTTGAAATTCATATAAGGGACAGAACAAAAATATACAAAATATTGCACAATGAGTAAAAGGTGTAGAAAATATCATGTATGACACAAGAAATAGTCTTAATCTGCCACCATATGTTGTGTAGTAACGTTTCTTTCAATATTTTGATATATCTTTCAATAGTTTAGATTAATTGTATACACAGATCCCTTTTTACAAAACCTATTCTAATTCTTTCTAAATTTCCTAAATTTATTTCAACTACATGAATCTACAATATATAATGTGTATCAAATATGATCTCAGACAATGTTGTTACTAGATATTTTGATATCTATCATTACTTTATTCATTTCACTGACTTTTTGAAGGCAAAATATTAACATCTTACCCTATGCTATTTCATTGAAAATGTATGAGATGCTCAAAACTGAAATATTTGTATACTCAACTGCGACATAATTTCGCATGAGATATTTTTAATTAACAGAAAGCAGTCTATATAAAAAATAATTAATGACATTATGGAATTGAATCATGAAAAACACTAGACTTTACAATATAAATATAAAAGAAGTTGAAGATATTTGGAAATCAAATGCTTATGAGCACTGAAGGGTAAAGATAGCATTCACTTTACATTGGAAACTAAAAGTTAAACATTGCACTGTATTTATTGGCAATGGAAGACAAAATTTGGAAATGAGGATATCTTATTTTGTCCATAATTCTAGTTGGTTCAAATACAAAGATTACTTCATTTTAATAATCCCTTTAATGGCTATTTTTAGAACAGACATATTCACTTAATGCCTTATATTGTCTGTTTTCAATAGCTAAAATCAAAATTGAACTCAATACAAATATATATATATATATCAGACAATTATAATAGTCATGTTAGTACATGTATATTGATTATAATGATTTAATTAATAATACTTTAAATGAAATTTTAACTAAGACATATCATTCTAACATTTCTATAACAAATACAAATTAATGTGCAATATAATCTATATATTTTACATTATAATGCCATAACCATAATATACTGCAAACAACAAAATAATAATAATTGTTACACTACAATAAACATTTAAGTGAAAACATCAAGATATTTTGATAGATTAATTAGATCTAGCTAGGCTTTGTTCTACACATCATTTCTTTTTCCTGTTTGAAGCGTAAATTTTCCCAATTATTATCATTTTGATACTCCTTCGTAAATAAGAGAAAAATAAAAGTAGAATAGAAAACCTTGCAAATATATATATAAATAATGCCAAATTAGTTCATTTTTCAATTATTTATTATGTCAAAATACATTTCATGACGATGTTGTTATTTTTCCTTGGAATATTACAAAGTAGATTCATTGGTCAATAAACCTAGTTTCCCTAACAATGATACTATTGTAGGATTTTCTGTTCCTTTTCTGAAACCTTAATGCTGTTCTGATATTTCAATCTTGCCATACATTTTTCATCTTTATGTGTCAGGAAGAGAAGCAAAACACTGAATATATCTATCCATGTGAGACGTAAAACTAAAACTTTTCATTTAAGTGATGAATAAATATATTTAGAAAATTGATTTAAATACTGTAAACAGAATTATTTTGATGGATATTTTTTTCATGATAAGCCCCTTTCTAGCTGACTTTGAATTTTCCAACTCAATAATGTTTAAAACAAAGAAGATTCAAGTTTGACATATTCAGGACATTATATGTTCAACTAGCACAACAGTAGGTTGGATTACAGTAACTGATACAGATTAAAATAAATAAATAAATATTTGTGTAAAAAAAACTTATATATAAAACTTTATAACATGAACAAAAGCAATCTTTAAAATTCCAACAAAATTATATTGTTTAATAAAACACATGGTTCAGTCAGTAATTTACTGACCTTTATTAAACTGATGGTAAAGGATTCAAATGATCCCTGCTATATTGATCTTAGTAGAACCTATTCCACTTTAAATAACTTAATATTATCATATATATATTTTTAAAGTTCTTTTAGGCAGATTAAAATACTGGTACTCATAAATGTTTGCATCACAGCCTAGCATAAAGTATCAATGAGGTAATTGGTTTAAGTTTGTGACAATGAACTTTGATTTGGTATCATATAACTGCTTATTTCACAGTTCAGGTGGTTTTTCAAAAGAAACTTAATGGTTTTGATTACTCATATAATTCAAGAAAATCTGTTTTAAGACATGGATTTCATCACTAAATTATATTCACAGTTTAACCAATTCATGCAAGAACTACATGAAAATAACATAGAAGTAATTCTAATCTTAACAATGACCAAAAAACTCTTTAAGTTATCAATTTGTAAATGATTTTAACTATTGCAGAGATTTCACAGACTACATGATAGTAAACAGACTGTTTTTACACTTCATGGGTTACATATATTAAGCTCTTACCTCATAAGTATAAATCATATATGAAGTATAATAATTGTTAATAATTCAAAATGATTTTGATAATAATCCAATAAATTTTCTATCTTTAAATACTAACTTTCAGATGCTAAAATGAATGAGTATTAAATGTAAACTAGCCTCTTAATTTTATTTTCATTCCATTATCGAAAAGTTGAATATAAACATAACCATTTTTTTTTTAAATCAACATAAAAATATATTTTAATGAAATTAAATAACAAAAATTAAAAAAATATAATTTGATTAAATTTCCAATCCTGCTGATAGATTATTAGGCTTTTGTAAAAAAAAAAAATACAAAACCATGAACAGTATAAACAATAATAGCATAAAAAATAATTAACAATTGCATTAAAATTATGCTAAAACATAGATTTACAACAATGATTGTGTAGAATAGGTAATGCTTAAACAAATAACAGTATTTTTTCAACCATAAACTCTCAAAGAAAAAATCAACAATATAGATATTCTGACAAATTAGTATTTCTCTTAAAATATCACAGACTATTAAATTGGAATAATTTTCAATTTCATATTCGATACTTTCAAAGTATGATAAAGTTTTGTTACAATGACAATGTATAAATATTAAAAGTTCTCTAAGTAGATTTATACTCTACTGCTTTTTCAGTTCTCAGCTTTTAATTGGTTGTAATTCAAATATGTCTACTTTTAATTGGTTGAAATTCAAATATGTCTACTTTTAATTGGTTGAAATTCAAATATGTCTTTAAATTACCTTTCCATTTTCTAGTTCTGCTGATGTAATGACATTAATAAATGTGAGAATGCCTGATGATTTTACACAGCATTTGATAAATCTCCCTAACAAACAATTATTTTGTGAGAAAATTGTCTAAAAAATTTACCCTAAAACAGTACTACATGACTGTATCCTATGATTAACAAATGGTGAAATAATAAAAACAGAATTCTGCACTACATATAGCACAGGTCTTTTAGAAAGAAACATAATTTCGACTTCCAAACTTTGATTTACGTTGAAACAAAAGAAGCTCAAATTGTGTATTGCCCAAATAATAAAGATTTTTCAATTTAAAACTTTGTTATTAGATTATCCATTTTGGCTTATCAGATTTATAAGAATTATTAAATACTTAATGTGGGTAAAAATAATTGTATCCTTTAATGCCAATATTACTTTGATTTGAATTTTAATAGTAAAAAACGAATTTTATCTACAAATGAAATACAATTTCTTCTTTAAGATATTTTAACTAACATCCAGAAGTCAATAAATCTTCAGTAAAAGTGCATGTAACAAATTTAAATCTCTAGACAGCATAACAGACAACAGATCTGCACAAAATGTAACAATACAGAACATACATAAAAAGGTTTGAGTAAATCTATCTGCTTCATGCCACTTGTTCATACTTGGATTTATTTATATTCTTAGCAAGACAACAGGCAAACAGAGCACCAAATAACTGAAAAAGAGATTAATGTAATGTAAAAGGTGTACATATACTGTTTTATACTATTGTATACTGTTTTATACTATTGTTATACTGTTTTATACTATTGTAATACTGTTTTATACTGTTTTATACTATTGTAATACTGTTTTATACTATTGTATACTGTTTTATACTATTGTAATACTGTTTTATACTATTGTAATACTGTTTTATACTGTTTTATACTATTGTAATACTGTTTTATACTATTGTATACTGTTTTATACTATTGTAATACTGTTTTATACTATTGTATACTGTTTTATACTATTGTAATACTGTTTTATACTATTGTAATACTGTTTTATACTATTGTATACTGTTTTATACTATTGTAATACTGTTTTATACTATTGTAATACTGTTTTATACTATTGTATACTGTTTTATACTATTGTTATACTGTTTTATACTATTGTAATACTGCCAATTTCAGTTATATTTTATGTTGAAACTTCATAAAATCTTATTGTGAATTGTGATTTTTTTTGTTTTATTTTCATGAGCAGCAGTATCCAACCAACAGCTGTAGTAACCTAAACAATGCTTTCAGTAGTAGCAATCATATTTTGACCCTGCTTGCAAAATTATGCGGTGTTGTTTATAACCTTCTTCAAGTTAGTGGTTTTCCTGTTGGAGGCTGCATTTTGCATGTTTCTTATTGTGTGTTTTACTTTTACGACGTACGGTCCTGACAGGTAAAGGTTTGTGTGTTTTACTTTTATGACGTACGGTCCTGACAGGTAAAGGTTTGTGTGTTTTACTTTTATGACGTACGGTCCTGACAGGTAAAGGTTTCGGTCCTGACAGGTACAGGTTTCGGTCCTGACAGGTAAAGGTTTGTGTGCACATTAAACTGGTGTAACCTCACTACATTTTGTACCTGTACCAAATCAGGCTATCTGGGCTCTCGGTCATAAAATTTCATTCAGTACTCGGAGTACAAAATTTGTGCTCGAAACACTAAATCCAGTGTTTTGATTGGTTGGTTTCTGAGTCTGAGTACGAGAATCCTACTCGAAAGTTTTATGACCGCAAGGCCAGGAATATGTTATATTCATTGTTGTTTGTCTTTGTTTGTATGTTTGTTATTTTTTCTGAGGAATCACATGTTGATGGTTGATACAAGCTGTTATTCTATGAAGTATTGTTTATGAATCCTGTTATCCTTTTTATGGTTTTTCTTCAAATGGGTTTTCAGGTAATATCCAAATCTTACCTGAGTATTTATATAGAATTTGTATAAAAATATAAATTTTGGCAATATATAAATTTTTTTTTTTTCCTGGTGCATACAATAATGCAAAAAACAGTACCTTCAAAACAGAATATATATCACATACAAATCAAATTCCAATTGCTAGCTCAAACAAACCAGCAAAACTTAAGATACTTAAACCATTGCTTTTCTCAATAGTTGTTATGTACTCCAGTAAAGTTTGTCCAATAAAACAGACGGCCATATTGAAAATCATTCTTATTCTCTTATAAATGGATCATAGCTTTTATATCAGAAAGTAACCTGATACATTAGGGATCATTTTTAGGTTCTGAAAAATACATCTATCAAGTTAAGTGAAAAGCAATATTGAATCCTTACCTGCAGGAAGGATATTCCTAGAGCCACACCACCAATTATTGCCATGTTACCCTGCATAAAGTCCAACACCGTACCATAACATCCCTGTGAATCAATGGGGGAAAATTTACTGGTGAGAATAACTAAACTTGGTTATAGAATACAATATAATTGTCATAGTGTCAAAGTTCAATTAACCATCTTTTAAATCTAAAATTTTACTAATTTATTTTGTAAACTAAGTGAAATTTGGTAATTCTATTGTTCCAGAATTGAGCTGAGTTAGTGAAAGTTCAGGATAGTTATCAATGACTGTCACTGTCTCTAAGATAAACCAGAAAAAATCTACATAAATTCTTATTTTCTTATATCAAATTAACTAATTTAAAATTTGTACTTCTTTAGGAAGGCAATTCATTCTTTTTAACTGATCATAAAACCTACAAAACACACTGCAAACAAAACTACTTTCCCAGTAAAGAGATTTTTATAAAGGGAAACAATCCTGGTAAAGTAGAAAGCTACTTGAGTAATAATCAGTAAAATTAGAAGAGGGATAACTGTGGTTAATTCTGCAAAATATTGAGAGTAAACAGATGCAGACAGCTACTGTGGATTCATTATTATTCATTGGATACCAGTTTTCGTGGGTTTCGTGGGTACAGGTGAACCACGAATACAAATGCTCAACGAATGACATCATTACTATAGGCTTTATTTGCAGAGATTGGCAAAACCATGAAATCAAATACCCACGAAAATGCAAGTTTTCCTCAATCAACGAAAATTGATACCCACGAAAATAAATGAATCCACAGTATTTACACTGTACAGAATCCACACCTGTACACATATGTTTTGGTCAATCCAACATGTCTGTAGGTAAAGACTCCACATCATGAAAGTTCACAGTATGGAATCCACACCCGTATGCATATGTTTGGGTCAATCCAACATGTCTGTAGGCAAAGACTACACATCATGAAAGTTCACAGTATGGAATCCACACCTGTATACATATGTTTGGGTTGAACCAACAGGTCTGTAGGTAAAGACGCCACATTATGAAAGTTCACAGTATGGAATCCACACCCGAATACATATGTTTAGGTCGATCCAACATGTACATGCATGTACCCAGGTAAAGACTTTACATCACATAAGTTCACTACATGGAATTCACATGGTATACATATTTTTGGGTTGAGACTTAACATAATGCAAGTTCCCTGTATGAGATCCACATCAGTATAGGTAAGTTTGGATCCACCCAACATGTGTGCGCCCAGGTAAAGACTTTACATGATGCAAGTTCCCTGTATGGGATCCACATCAGTATAGGTAAGTTTGGATCCACCAAACATGTGTGCGCCCAGGTAAAGACTTCACATGATGCAATTTCCCTGTATGGGATCCACATCAGTATAGGTAAGTTTGGATCCACATCAGTATAGGTAAGTTTGGATCCACCCAACATGTGTGTGCCCAGGTTAAGACTTCACATCATTCAAGTTCCCTGTATGGGATCCACATCAGTATAGGTAAGTTTGGATCCACCCAACATGTGTGCGCCCAGGTAAAGACTGTTCATATCACATCAGTTTGTCACTGATATTATGGTTTATAATATAGGGCACAGACATATTGTATCAATCCACCAAATCATGGTACATCACATCCGGTAACATACGAAAAAGGATGGAAAAAAATATTCCCTTGAATTTGATAGTTGTAGGAAATTAATCCTACATTTCATTGCAGTAAAAAAAAACTCTGAGTCATAAACATATATACTGGGTGTTTCAAAGCACCATTCTTTTTTTATTTTTTATAAAATATTTTGAAAACTTGAGGTGACATGGTTACTAAAGCTTGTAAACAGGAAAAAAAAAGGTGCAAATTTGATTGGTTTACTTCCGGTGAATGTTATTATCTTATATGCAATGAAATGTTATTTGAACTTTTTTACTGTAGTACTGGACCGGATAAAACTTGCTCATATCAAGTAGTTTTTTTATTTGAAACAAAAATAAATTCTGCACAATTTTTTGAAAAATGCCAATTTAACAAAGACTAATAGGGGAAAAACAATGGTGGTATTACTCCTAAATGCATACCAGTATGGATTCCATATAGTGATTTTTAATGATAAAATATAATCTTTTGTAAGGTCAATATGTAATTCTGTAAATTCAGAAATTATTACGTGCATTCATTATTGCCATTTTTGAAGAATGAACAAACATGGGAGTTTAATTATTGCGATTTTAGGAAAAGCTACATACAGATACATGTATTTGATATCAGAATGCTAGTTTTTATTATTGCGATACTCAAGTAGTTGCATTATTTGCATAATAAAAACCTCGAAATAATTTCTGAATTTAAAGTTTACAATGAGATCGATTTTTACTGATAATCATCCTGTTTCAGCTTTTTTTTAATGTTTACATTTATCTGCATCATGTAAATCAACAGTTTTGTACCATTGTCAACGTATATTTGTTCCGCCTAACAGAAGTTCCACTGGAAACTTTGTTATAAACAATGTCAAAATATTTATTCCTGTTGGAACAAATATTCTATACCATTTATTCCGTTAGGAACATTTACTGTAATATTTATTCCAGTGGAAATAATATTCCAGAATATTGTTTCCGTTTGGAACTTATATTATGAAGGAACTTCTATTCCGTGACACCATTACAGAGGTATCACAGGATGAACTTTATAATTATCTATGAATTGGAAAATATTTAAAATTCCTTAAGCAAAAAAATTTATATTTATATCCAGTTACATCATTTTTGTTTTGCAATGAATTCATCTCTTAATTTCACCAAAAATATTGCGAAAAATGGGGAATATTTTGGTATCCATAAATCCAATATGTCCCTATCATAAGTTGTGTTTAGTTCCTGTGTCAGGTCAATCTCCATTGTTTATATATTGAATCAGGGATCATCCTAACTAATACCATAATAACACATGGTTTAAGATGGAATTTATTTGTCCATCACTGAAGATCTTCCAGAAAATTTGAAGATGAAGAACAAAAATAGCAGTATTTTACCTCTTTCCTCTCCAATAGCCATATTTTGATACGCAAGTTAATTTGTACTTCTTTAGTAAACTGTGTGAGTTGGATATATTAAATTTTCCCTTGACAGGTTTGTGTTTATGCTTACCTTTGTGTAAATTTCTAAAGTGGCATTAGTTGGTGGAAGATCTGGCAAGTTTGTATGTTGGCAGGTACTTTTTCCATCTATGCAGCATGAAGTTGGTACTTTTTTTTCTCCGCCTGCAAAAGTTGTGGTAAACCAGTCTGTGTAATCATCACTTCCACAACACTTCAACTGTAATAAACAATTGTAGAATTATCACTAAATGTATAGAAGTCCCTAATTTAATTCCTGGATACAAACAGAAAAAATCTATTTAAAGTATTTTTACCACAACACTTATGCCATACTCATGGAATATTAGCATCTACATGTATTTTGTTATTTGCTGCAGATCAAATAACATAGAAAGATAATACAGAGAAGATCTGATTTCATATTTATATATATGTAACACTCAGAAACGTGTCCATCCCCCCAAACGTGTCCGATTCCCCAAACGTGTCCATATGACGTCGCTGAACTGCAAAACATGTCTAGTTGCTAAAGGGCACCTAAACGTGTTCTGTTTATAAGCGCCCAATTGTGTCCATTTAATTAAAAAAAAGGCCAAACGTGTCCGTTTTATATGAAACCGTAAAGTCTCCATTTTAAAAGCACAGAAACCACTTCTGCATGAAGCAGGTCGTACAATACCCTCATGCATTATATAGACACTTAGGTATCATCGAAGAATATTAGTACAATAGAATCCACTTAGTAAACAATTATTTAAACTGTACAAAACTAATAAATTGCAATGTTTTTGTTTTTTTTTTAAATACGCATGACATATTTTCCACTGGACATTAAGCAATCAACATTCAATAATTAATTATGTGTTGCAAATTTAGCTTGCAATTATACTTAATAAAAAATAACCGGCGTTGAACAAATTAATGCTAATAAATTACCACTTTATTAACAGTGAAGCACCGTGAAAATTTACAAGATAAAATATATTAAATTTTTTATTGTGAAATACCTCTCTCTGAACTTTATATAAAACATTATTAAAACCGCTGCAAGTAAAAATAACTTTTTATTGTGGGATTCTATTTTAACCGGGTGTCTATTTTTTTGAAAGCAGAAGTCACTGTGCACAGTCTACATGTCTTGAACATTTGTCTATACGGCTTAGTAAACTTTCCTGCAGATTTCTTTGGGTAGCTACTTTTATTTTTTAAGAATTCAACCGAACCTGACGTCCTTTATCGTATCCCACGCCATTGAATTGCCGTAAACGTTTTTGACTCCACGGAGTTATATTGGCGCTAAGAGTTTTGAGACATTGTGGCGTTTTTATCTGGACACGTTTTGGCGAATAACAATTATCGGACACGTTTGGGGGGGATGGACAAGTTTGGGAGTGTTACATATATATATATACTAAATGGGAGATATTATGAGTTATCTACGTTCATATCTGAACATCTGTATATCCATATATATTAACACCCTGAAGTACCCCAGTATACCCTGAAGCAAAGCCAAATGGCGTACAGGGTACTGAAGGGTGTAAAATACCCATATCTACAGATATGAACGTAGATAACGAATTTATTCCCGGTCTTAGTCCAAATTGGGCGATTTTTAGGGAAATTCAGGAATTTAGGGAAGTGTTACATGAAAGCCATGTTTTTTTTTATTATATAAAAAAGTTTGATTGAACTTTGGAAATTTGTCATATTTTTTACGGGGCGTAGGGTACCTTTGGTAGAACCCTAAAGGTAATCAAATATAAGATGTTTGTAATCCAGAGACAAAGAAACTAGAATACATCAAATTTGGCGCTCAAGTCGCAAGCATTATGTCATAGACGGCGTAACGTCAACATGGGTCATTTGCTTAACTAGCTCAGTAGTCCTGTTCATTGAAGACGTCGAAGCCAAGTGATGCATTTACTAAGATTAATGCCAATGGTCCACATAATAGGATAAAATCATTAATGGATTGCATATTTATTTACAGACATCATGAATAATCTACAGAATTTAATTATTCACTGGGAACAAACCTCGGAACTAAAGAAAACATGTGTGACGTTCTCCAGGGTAATGGGTAACAACGTCCAGTATATAGGTTAGCAACACCAGGATTTTTTAACGACGGCCATTAGCCAATCAAAATCTGAGAATTATACCAAGCCGGGGATAAGATCTTGTTAACCAGCTGTAGCATTCTCAAACATCAGTACTAATGATACCTAACTTACAGAAAATAATTCAATTTGACAATTATTTCAGAACTTTTTCAGATTTATTGACAAAATAAAAAATGCTAATGATGTCTCTAAGAAGGTGTCCCTGTGCCGTTTTATGTGCCCCTGTGCCTTTTTCAAAGGAGGAAAATCAAATTTTGTTTCCACCCTGATCAACCTTTCACCAGATGTCTTCACACCAAAACACCTTATTTAATTGACATGTTAATTCCTACAATTCGGTTAATTTTACTTTTACAGCTGGGGTGTCAAACATATAAATGTTAATTACACTTCAAAAATCTGTTTGTGCATGTAGACATAAAAAAACAGAATGGCATATTCAAAGTGTTAATTTTTTTTTTTTTATTAAAAATGATTATGGGAAGAAAACATTTCTCCAATTTTTCTCCAATTATCACGGAGCTGGCAACATGTAAGTGACAATAAAGCATACATAATTAGGCCATATCGCAAGTGATTGGGTTAAATTTCACATCAATCTTAGTAAACTGTAAAAGTTATGATTTTCAGAAATTACAAACTGCATTTCAACAATGTACTGCATTCACCAGCATGACAAATTTAACATCAAGAAACAGACATGGAGCTGGCAAGTTTGGTACAAGCTTTGTAGATTTGTTGTTTTACTGGTCATGCAACTTTGTTAAACATGCTTGTTTTAATTGTTTTGTTTGTAATATAAGATGAAATAAAAGATCAATAGGTCTTATGTTTTCTGTAAACTAATATTAGTCTATAAATAAAGCTTTCGGAGAAAAAAAAAGTTTCAGCAAAGTGACATACAGACAGGATGAAATTGAAGAGACAAGATATTACCTTTTGTTGGAGATCATCCATGCCTTTAGAGATTTCTGTTCCCCTGAAGAGAGACACCATATTACCTTTTGCTGGAGATCATCCATGCCTTTAGAGATTTCTGTTCCCCTGAGGGGAGAGACAAGATATTACCATTTGTTGGAGATCATCCATGCCTTTAGAGATTTCTGTTCCCCTAAAGAGAGACAAGATATTACCTTTTGTTGGAGATCAGCCATGCCGTTAGAGATTTCTGTTCCCCTAAAGAGAGACAAGATATTACCTTTTGTTGGAGATCAGCCATGCCGTTAGAGATTTCTGTTCCCCTAAAGAGAGACAAGATATTACCTTTTGCTGGAGATCATCCATGCCTTTAGAGATTTCTGTTCCCCTGAAGAGAGACAAGATATTACCTTTTGTTGGAGATCATCCATGCCTTTAGAGATTTCTGTTCCCATGAAGAGAGACAAGATATTAACTTTTGTTGGAGATCATCCATGCCTTTAGAGATTTCTGTTCCCATGAAGAGAGACAAGATATTAACTTTTGCTGTAGATCACCCAGACAAGATATTACCTTTTGTTGGAGATCATCCATGCCTTTAGAGATTTCTGTTCCCCTGAAGAGAGACAAGATATTACCTTTTGCTGGAGATCATCCATGCCTTTAGAGATTTCTGTTCCCCTGGAGCGAGACAAGATATTACCTTTTGTTGGAGATCATCCATGCCTTTAGAGATTTCTGTATCATTGCCATACTGTCTCAGTGCATTCTTTAGTCCATCTCTAAATCCTTTTTCCAGCTATTAAAATGATAAAATGTGTTCATAAAAACTAATAAAACAAGGTCTGAAAGGAAAAGGTGCATTTTGGGGTTTATTTAGCCCTGAAAATTTATTGAATACAAAAAGCAGTAACATTACTTTTGACAATTTTCTAAACTTTAGAATGGACAAAAATTTGAGCTATCAAAAAATATGTTTTTATATAGATATAGGAAGATGTGGTATGAGTGCCAATGAGACAACTCTCCATCCAAGTTACAATTTATAAAAGTAAACCATTATAGGTCAAGGTATGGCCTTCAACACGGAGCATTGGCTCACACCGAACAGTAAGCTATAAAGGGCCCCAAAAAATTACTAGTGTAAAACCATTCAAACGGAAAAACCAACGGTATAATCTATATAAAAACGAGAAACGAGAAACACGTATGAACTACATAAACAGACGACAACTACTGTAATCAGATTCCTGACTTAGGACAGGTGCAAACATTTGCAGCGGGATTAAACGTTTTAATGGTACCAAACCTTCTCCCTTTTCTGAAACAATAGTATAACATCACAACATAGAAAAACACACTATAAAATATCAATTGGAAGGCTTAACTCAATCAAAAAATGTCTAGAAAGGACAAATGCATTTTAATAATATAATGTTTAATTTTATACTTTTGTATTTTGATTTGGTCAGACTCTTTGTTGAGCAAAGCAGATACAATTCTGCTTATTAATATTATACTTATACATTTATTACCAACTATTAATAGTTAATTGATTTTGTTTTAATCATTTTAAGATAATATTTTTAATTAAATAACACAAATATATCCAGGATTAATTAGTCTCAAGACAAAAGGCATGGGCTTGCCCCTGTCAGAAAAAATTTATACCCCTGTTATAGAACATATTGCATGAAATGTAAGTATAAAACTGCAAATGAAGGTCATCTAAAACATTATGCTGGACAGATCAACTCTCCTCTGTCGGCAGTTGAATAAATGCTGAAATATGTTGTATGACAATTGATGTAGTGGTTGATTTTGAACACAATATGTCAGTTATAACATATATGTTGTATGCACATGTACCATAATAATAAATACAACTATACCTTTCCCTTGTAGGCAAATCCAGCTGCTCCAGTGGAAAGCATTACAACAAATATAACAATAAGGAATGCAGCATACTGAAAAAAAACAAAACAACAAAATAAACATTTTTTCCAGAACAAGGTGCATGGTATCGATTATTCTAATTTAATTAAATTAAACAAAGAATTTCATGATAAATGAGAGTTAATGAAAGCCCTAGAGTAATAAGCAAATAAATTCTATGCCCTCAGATTTTGTTTACATTTATGGATGTTTTAACTTTTAAAATGAAGATGGTAGAGGGAGGACAATTAGACACTTAAAGGAGTCTGTCTCCTACCATGTGACAGTAGCATTGGTAATCAAGATTGTTTAATACACCCATTAAGAGCCCAAATGGCCAGTGGCGGATCCAGAACTTTTCATAAGGGGGGGCCCGCTCCAGTCATGCTTCAGTGATTCCCTATATAATCATCCAAATTTTTCCCACGAAAGGGGGGGCCAGGGCCCCCTGGATCCGCCTATGATGGCTCACCTGGTAGCTGTACATAGTATTGACTTACATTCTCATAAGATGTTAAAAAATAAAAATTATTTAATTGGAAATTTGGAATATATATGTAATGTTTGTGGCCACATTTTCATCTCATTGAAACAACATGAGGATCTTTTGTAGAAAACCTTGTGTTCATCATTCATAGTTTTGGCTAAAGATAGCCTTCAATATAAAAATAAGAAGTTGAAGTATAATTGCCAACTATCCACCAGACTTCAAATGAAGTGGATGTAAGCAATTGTAGGCCACCGTCTGGCCTTCAAAACCACTGTCTGGCCTTCAACAAAGAGAACAAGTGAATCTGTGAGCTACTGCTCAGTAATGATACATTTGTACCCCCGCCCCACTAAAAGTATAAGGTAAACAGGAAGTTGTTGAGTGATGAATCTGAAAACGCATTACACGGTATAGCTGACTCATATAAACCCTGAAACCAAATTTCAGAAATCCTTGTAATGTAGTTCCTGAGAAAGATGCGACAAAAAAATATTCATGGGACGGACGGACGGACGGACTGACAGATGGACAGACAGAGGTAAAACAGTAACCCCCCTTTTTTTAAAGTGGGGGTATAAAAACCCATCACTATAGTTTACTATAAAAGGCCCCTACATGAAAAATGTGAAACAATTCAAATGAGAAAACTAACAGCCTGATTTATATACAACACAATAAACAAATATGATATACAGCAACAAAATGACAACAATGAATCACAGGCTCCAGAATTGGGACAGGCATAAAAACTTACTCTCTGCTTTCATACATGTATGTGGGCCATAAAAAACTCTTCTATAACTACACCATTGTCAGAGTTTGAGGAACTTCTATTTTTTTGTTATGCACAGGACTGGTAGAAAGCAAACTTTTGTTCATCCTTCTAAAACATTTTAAAAGTATGTTTAAGTTTAGGATTTCCTTTCTAAAAATCATAGGGTTTGTACAGTAGGAACGAATATTTTCATAAACAGAATGATTATGGTAATAACAACTTGTCAAGTAAAAAATAAAATTACTTTGGGAATAGGTGACCTATATATTTATGAAGCTGTTTACCGTATATAAGAGTATAGTATTTCCTTTAATTGTGCAGCAACATCCCAAGGATCCAACTACCACTATGGCCACACCAACTCCTATCAGAATGTATGGCGATTCTTTGTAGTATATGGATGACAGTTCCATATATTTATACAAATCTACTTTTGTCCATATTCCTAAAGCTAGAATGGCTATACCAGTTACCTGAAGAACAAAAAAAGAAATTTTTCAACAATTGAGTAATGATAATATATTACCAATTTTACACATGTTTTTCTCCTTTTGTAATCACACAGCTCCTCTGTAATTCAAATACATAATATTAACCTTCTTCTTAATTTTGTTTAATTATAAACAGTAAAACATCAGAGGATACATTGATATCATATATCAGTGTACCATATGTATTGAAAAACTAACAAAATAAAAGAGTCACTGATGAGTCTTTTGTAGATAAAACGCACGTCTGTGTACAAAATTTCAATCCTGGTATCTATGATGAGTTTATATCATTTGCCAAAGGACAATTCAATGTTACACTTGATGAAATATAATAGAAAAACCAAATACATATTCAACAACAATCAACTAATCATTAGGTATAGATTTAAGAAACAATAATCAAATCCTATTGGATACCTTAAATACTTCAGTGTCCTTTCAAAGTTATATTTTATACTGGGTCTCCCTAAGGCTCTGAAACTTCACTTAATAAGTTCTATTGGCCATGAAAACTGATCTTTACAGATACAATGAACAATAAATGTGGATAGTGTCCACATGTGGACACACATGATGCCCCCACTTGCACATCATATAGTTATAAAGGGACATAACTGAATAAAGGTAAAAGTGACGCTACCCAAATTTGAACTTGAGTTTTGTGGTAATAAGCATTGTGTGTAAGTCTCATAACATTTGGTTGAGGCTAACTTAAGTAGAGAACAGAGCCTAAAAATTCAGCAATTTTTCTATTTGTAAACACGCATAACTCTAGAATGGTTGTTTATAAGTTTAATAACATTTGGTTGAGACAAACTAAAGTAAGAGAACAGAAACGAAAAATTCAGCAACTTTTATGTTTATAAAGGGACATAACTCAAGAATGGTAAAAGTGTCGCCACCAAATTTTGTACTTAATCTGTATTATGTAGTAATAAGCATTGTGTATATATAAGTTTCATAACATTTGGTTGAGGCAAACTAAAGTTAGAAAATGGAAACAAAAAATTTGTACTTGATCTTAATTTTGTGGAAATAAATATTGTGTATAGGTTTCATAATGTTTGGTTGGGGCAAACTTAAGTTACAGAATGGAAACTAAAAATTTTGCAATCTTTCGATTTATAAAGGGGCATAACTCAATAATGGTTAAAGTGACACTACCCAAATTCAACTTGATCTGTTTTATCAGTGGAAGTCAAAATTAAACATTGCATTGCATAAAGCATTGATTGTAATTGATTCAACTATAATCATGGACAAAGGAAGATAACTCCAATTTTAATAAAATGCTCCGCTGGGCGCAGCTTGATATGACCGCAGAGGTCGAACACTGAACAGTTGGGGCAAGTATGGACATTCAAGCTTGATACAGCACTGAATTTTGATTGTGATTAAATATTTGACACAGCATAGGTTCTGACACAGAATGAATGTGGTCTAAGAACTTAAAAAATTTTAATTTACCTATTCAAACCATATCATTATTATTTGCTTTTATATGTAAATCAGAAATAACCAATTTAAAATGGAAAATTTTATAGAAAAAAAAAGGAAAAAAAGGAAAAAAAAATCCCTCCCCAATATTTTTTGAACCCCCTTATGATTCATCACCCCAAACTCAATCCAAGCCTTCCCTTTGTGGTATGGTACCTTGCAGTACAATTTCAGAGAGATCCATACACTTGAACACAAGTTATTGTCTGGAAACTAGAAAAATGCTTATTTTTGGCACATTTCTGACCCCTTATTCCTAAATGTTTTGGGCAATTACCCCAAAACTCAATTCCAACTTTCCCTTTGTGATATGGAACCTTGTAGTTCAATTTCAGAAAGATCCATACACTTGCACACAAGTTATTGTCCTGAAACTAGAAAAATGCGTTTTTTTTTGCCCCTTTTTGGCCCCTAATTCCTAAAATTTTGAGGTAATTACCCCCAAAATCAATCCCAGCCTCCCCTTTGTGGTATGGTACCTTGCAGTACAATTTCAGAGAGATCCATACACTTGAACGCAAGTTATTGTCCTGAAACTAGAAAAATGCTTATTTTTGGCCCCTTTTTGACCCCTTATTCCTTAACGTTTTGGGCAATTACCCCTAAACTCAATTCCAGCTTTCCCTATATGATATGGAACCTTGTAGTACAATTTCAGAAAGATCCATACACTTACACACAAGTAATTGTCCTGAAACTAGAAAAATGCTTGTTTTTTTGCCACTTGTTGGCCCCTAATTCCTAAAATTTGAGGCAATTATCCCCAAAATCAATCCCAGCCTCCCCTTTGTGGTATGGTACCTTGCAGTACAATTTCAGAGAGATCCATACACTTGAACACAAGTTATTGTCTGGAAACTAGAAAAATGCTTATTTTTGGCCCCTTTTTCCTAAACGTTTTAGGCAATTACCCCCAAACTCAATTCCAGCTTTCCCTTTGTGATATGGAACCTTGTAGTACAATTTCAGAAAGATCCATACACTTACACACAATTTATTGTCATGAAACTAGAAAAATGATTGTTGTTTGCCCCTTTTTTGGCCCCTAATTCCTAAAAATTTTGAGGCAATTACCCCCAAAATCAATCCCAGCCTTCCCTTTTAGATATGGAACCTTGTGGTACAATGTCAAAGAGATCCATACACTAACACACAAGTTATGTCTGGAAGTTACAAAAATGCTTATTTTTGGCCCCTAATTCCTTAACAGTTGGTACCATAACCCCAAAAATCAATCCCAACCTTCCTTTTGTTGTATTGAACCTTATGGTAAAATCTCATAGAGATCCATTCACTTAAACTAAAGTTAGAGTGCGAAAACCAATGTGTCTTCGGATGAAGACGACGACGCCAACATCATACCAATATACGACCGCAAAAATTTTTTGCGGTCGTATAAAAATTACTTGATATTTAAAAGAAAATAAAAATTTTGCAATTTTTCCATTTATAAAGGGGCATAACTCTAGAACGGTTAAAGTGACGCCACCAAAATTCAAACTTGATCTGTGTTTTGTGGTAATAAGCATTGTGTATAAGTTTCAAAACATTTGGTTGAGGCAAACTTAAGTTAGAGAACGGAAACTAAAAATTTTGCAATTTTTCCATTTATAAAGGGGCATAACTCAAGAACGGTTAAAGTGATGCCACAAAAATTCAAACTTGATCTGTGTTTTGTGGTAATACGCATTGTGTATAAGTTTCATAACATTTGGTTGAGGCAAACTCGAGTTCGAGAACTGAAACCAATTTTTGACATACATACGTACGTACAGACGGACAAGGGTAAAACTTAATGGGCATAATGAAAAAAACTTTATTCTTGTTACAGTAATGACAGTATGAACATGTAGAAGTGAATTATAAAAAATTCAGCATACCTGTTAAAGCATATCAAAAGTCAAACATCTCATGGAATAAGTATACAAATATTAAACTTCCATACCCTTTACATAAGTAGTCCTCATACTACACTTAAAGACTTTAAAGAGATACAATTTTACTTCAGTTATTTTCAGGGGACATTCCTGATCAACAAAAGTTGAGTTCCTTTTTTTAAACCAGGAATCGCTGCATATATGAACCTGTATTATTAAAGGCTGTAACGACTATTTCACTGCATAATCATTATCCTTGTAAAAACTGTTAAATCGATATTTGGAATTCATTTCTAAAAACTTGGAATCAAGGATTTGTACAAATCCTTGTTTGTTGGAACGATTCTAATGACTGTATATTGTAATTTAATCAAGAATAGATCATGTTTACTTGATTTTAAAATGAAATGAAAACGGGAAGTGACAGGAAGATAATAAATTCAGAATGAATCCTGATTCATCTAACAAAAGTCAGGAAATTATCATATTTCTAAATCAAGTTGCTTAGTAAGAACTATATTTGTCTCCTTCCTTTATTTTGATACTAAATGATTTCGTATTTTAAGTTTTAATATCTAACTTATAAGAATACTTTCATGCATGTGCAGTACATAGTATAGGAAGCACCTGTTTGACTCGTGGATATATTTTTGAACATTTTGAATAAATTTCTCTCTCTAATCGAAATTGTTGAAAGTCTTTGATGAAAAGTTATATAGAATATGACTAAAATTCGTTCTTATAACAAAACTACGACAAACGAACTGCAAATTGTGATCGTTTGAGAAATATTGAAATTAATATGCAAACTGTCCGCGGGGAAAACATTTTGTTCAAATGACAAAACTATGATATAAAATGAACTGCAAATAATGTGGTCGTTTGAGAAATATTGAAATTGAATGCCGACTGACCGATTTTACTGGGAAAAATAATTATGATGGTCAATGATTTATGAGGTTTATTAATTAACAAATTAGTGACCCATCTGATGGCGATAAGCGGATTACCTGTAATCACAACTTATAACACCTGTGGTATACGTTAATTAGATGAGGGTCATAAACTTGTCAAAAACATGAAGACAGGTAGAATTATTTTATTTTCATGCGAATATATTTTTACACTTTTCGAATTTAAGTGACGAAACTGATTTGAAAAACTTTAGTCATTATGAAAACCTTTTTGTAAATGAAGAAATGATGAGCGCTAGCGAAATCACTGAATATATACCAGTTTTTATAACAAATAAGAAGATGTGGTATGAATGCCAATTTATGAGACAACTATGCATCAACCATTCACCATAGACATAAGCATGATAATCTGATAAGGACAAGAATGAGAACAATGAAAGGTTTGTGTACACTCTTCAACAATGAGCATAATTCATACTGTACAGTAAGTTATTTAAAATACCCAAGAATGACAATATGTGACAAACATGTCAAAGAGAAAACAGGTCAGGAATAACCACCAATTGGTGGATTATACCTCAATTGACGTATAATCCACCAATTGACATATAATGGTATAGACCAATTGAAGTATAATTCTTTGTATTTCAAAGCAAACTATACAACCAAAATGGAGCATTGTTTTCTTATAACCATATTATGGTATGAAAACATGTCAAACATTCCTAGTTAAGTATAGTGACATAACATATTGCATTTAATCAATAATTGTATTTGCAGTTTCTTCTATTGTTATCTTGTCAATTCTTGATTGGTAAATTTTCCACTAATCACCGGTCAATGGACATCAATACTGTCTTCAGTCATGTGATTATGAGTACAACTCACCAGGTGAATGGAGCTCTTTGTTAATACTTGACTTTCATTATTAAAAGTCAATCATGGTCAATAGTACAGATGTTTTAACAAAAGAATTGTTATACACATCCATTCTCAAGAGATGCAGCAGGCTTTGACAAAACTGAAACTTTAGGAGGATTCAGTAATGGTTATAAAATAGGTTGCAAGTTGCAAAATGATGCTCCTATCCCAGACTAGCGTTTTATTACAAAAAACTTGCATTATACGTCAATTGGTCTATACCAATATATGTCAATTGGTGGATTATACGTCAATTGAGGTATAGTCCACCAATTGGTGGTTATTCCTGACCTGGAAAACCATGCACAGCCTACTTTATATTAATTTTAACAATCAGTTTGCCTGTGTAATTTTATATGGTAAGGAAATGAGTATAATATGCTGACAGCTGTTCTGAGTAAACAACGCAATAAATTACAGCTGAAAACGCAGTTGAATTTATATATCTAAATTAAGCTTAAAATAATTAAACATATGTTTTTGTTTACCCAAAATAAGAAGTTGAAAACCATTAATAAGGTTTTCATGCATGCAACTGCTGGACCAGTTGCCATCGCAGAACCCATTTTACCAGGCATTTTCTATGGATGAACTGTCACAGTCTTGTGATGTAATAATCGTATGCAAATCAATAGTGTTATCAAATCAGACAATTATTTGTTGTGGGTGTTTACGTGGCGGAAATGTCTATTCTAAATTTAGGTCATAAACGTAACGGCTATTTAATTATTCCGGATATCTTTGCGGACATATATATATATATATATTAGAGAATTTGAAAAATTTCACTCAAACGAACAGATCTTTCCGACTGAAAATTGCTTTAGCGTAAAAAAAGTGAAGCAAGGAATTCACGATGTATATGTATATATATATATATATATATATATAAAACTTTTAACACTGAGGAAGGCCATTTGTTGAGCCGAAATACTTGCAATTATTGTATAATTTATATCATCTGTTCAGTTTTTCCATCTTTGTGCGATGATATTCAACACTTTTTAGTGTTTTGTTTTCCATCTATTTATCGGTATGGTTACACAATCTTTTAGACTCATATATATATATATATATATACAAGTCTAAATTGAAAACAACGTTCAAACCTATGATTGCGTTGGATAAAAACCGCAATTTTTATACGTGTGCATGCAAAACAAATTTCTTGTTAGAGGTGTCTAAATACAGCACAAACAACATTTTCCAAAAGACCAAAACAGTGAAAAAGTGTATTTTAACAAAACGCATTTGACTAACAGGTCGAACAACAAATGTTCTTAAACCCTGCTGACTGCCATTAGCGATTGCCAAATGAACGGATCACCGATGTAATAAATGGATCTAAATTATAAATTTAAAACTAAACAGAAAACAATAAACTTGCGGAAAAGATGGTATACCGCAAACAAAAGGTGCAAAGGTTTTTGTACACCATATCCGGATTTCGACAATTAATGTCTCTTCAGTGATGTAAGGAATCGAAACGGTATTTGGAAAGCCATACAATTTACCTCAATTTAGGATAGACTCTTGAAATTTGAGGAGTCAAAATAGGATGAACGGATCATATAAACCCGAAGGCAAATATAATACAAGCCCAAACGAAAAAATATAAACAAGTCTAAATTGAAAACAACGTTCAAACCTATGATTGCGTTTGATAAAAACCGCAATTTTTATACGTGTGCATGCAAAACAAATTTCTTGTTAGAGGTGTCTAAATACAGCACAAACAACATTTTCCAAAAGACCAAAACAGTGAAAAAGTATATTTTAACAAAACGCATTTGACTAACAGGTCGAACAACAAATGTTCTTAAACCCTGCTGACTGCCATTAGCGATTGCCAAATGAACGGATCACCGATGTAATAAATGGATCTTAATTATAAATTTAAAACTAAACAGAAAACAATAAACTTGCGGAAAAGATGGTATACCGCAAACAAAAGGTGCAAAGGTTTTTGTACACCATATCCGGATTTCGACAATTAATGTCTCTTCAGTGATGTAAGGAATCGAAACGGTATTTGGAAAGCCATACAATTTACCTCAATTTAGGATAGACTCTTGAAATTTGAGGAGTCAAAATAGGATGAACGGATCAAATAAACCCGAAGGCAAATATAATACAAGCCCAAACGAAAAAATATAAACAAGTCTAAATTGAAAACAACGTTCAAACCTATGATTGCGTTGGATAAAAACCGCAATTTTTATACGTGTGCATGCAAAACAAATTTCTTGTTAGAGGTGTCTAAATACAGCACAAACAACATTTTCCAAAAGACCAAAACAGTGAAAAAGTATATTTTAACAAAACGCATTTGACTAACAGGTCGAACAACAAATGTTCTTAAACCCTGCTGACTTCCATTAGCGATTGCCAAATAAACGGATCACCGATGTAATAAATGGATCTTAATTATAAATTTAAAACTAAACAGAAAACAATTAACTATATATATATACAAGTCTAAATTGAAAACAACGTTCAAACCTATGCTTGCGTTGGATAAAAACTGCAATTTTTATACGTGTGCATGCAAAACAAATTTCTTGTTAGAGGGGTCTAAATACAGCACAAACAACATTTTCCAAAAGACCAAAAAAAGTGAAAAAGTATATTTTAACAATATATATATATATAGCCTGCAGCACTATTAATGAGTGCTTCAAGGAGAAACTCACCAGAGAAATGCTCCTTGACACATACAAATACCTACATGCATGATAATCTATATCTTGTTTTTTTTTTTTATCTTATACCAAAAAAATTTAAATTTAAATTGAAAAATATTACTTACAAATATAAAAATTGAAAACTTAATATGAAATTAGAAAAATTATTATTAACAATACTGTTAAACGGGTCAAGAAAAGGATAAATCGGCTAAGAAATATATATATAATCAAGTTGTGCCTAGAAAATCAACCCAAAAAGGTTAGAGTAGATCTGATTATTCACTTCCTCACCAACAGGGGCTGGAACCTATACTTTTAACTTCTCACTTCTACTACAAGACCGCCTAGTAGCATTGCGCAGACGCCATATCCCCTCCTCTAACTATAGCTGATAAAAATCAGCTTTCGTTTCGGGAGGTGTTACCTTCTCGTAGGTATTTAAAAACAAGGACATCTTATCACAATACCAGAAGTATTTTAAAGTGTTCAGGAATAATCATCTACTCATCTCTTCTGTATAATTACAGGATGTATATATATATATATGTCTGCCTATGTGTAGTGACAACTGCAAATTATACATTGTCCATCGAATTCAGTTCATCGTTATGTTGATTTTCTAGGCATTTTATATATTTATATAACGTGTTCTTGTCCTGTATGTATATATGACTTATAAAATTTATACTGTGACCCGACATAAAAAAGTCGTTAATTTATCTAATTTTTGTGTAAGAAATTAATGATACGAAAACTTGTACATGTATATATAATCAATTTTATAATTCAATGTAAAATGCCCATACAGTACAGTACTCCGTTCTGTATGCAAAATTTAATGATGTAAGCATTTATCAATTTTATTTATGTTTTTTTCTCTTAATTCTTTATATGTCATTGATTGTAAAATTCAATTAGGAATTATATCCAAATATCAATGGTTTGGATTGCAGTCTTATATTGGCATACACTCAGGCCAAATCTCCTTTTGTCCATGTTTGGTTCAATGTATTGCAAATTAGTTATATGTTCTGAAAGAAATAAAAAAAATTAAAATCCACACAGTTGAAAACATCTCTTTTCAGTGTTTTAATTTTCTAGTAGCTGACAGAAGCCAGCTAATACATATTTACCCCTTCAGTCACAAACTGAGTGTCTGTATTAACCGGAAATCTTCTTCGGGCCTCCTGGCACAGCAAGCCACTACTCCTCTAAACTAAAGCTACACTATTTTCATCTCTTAACCATCGCGGTTTTTTTTCAGTTGGAGCGCCAAATGTAACAATAGTGCTATTTATATTTCAGTAGTAATGAATTCATCACCAAAAGCGTTACTTTTTTTTTATTCTTACGTATTATTGTATTTCAATAGTTTTATTTTCAGCAATAGGGTTGTATAACAAAAAATCTGGGAATAGTATATTGATATGTAGTCAATTCATTTTGTACCAGCATAAAATGTGTTATTCACTCATAACTAAAATAGTTATATAATTCACAAAAGATTCTATTTAATTTTAATAATTTTTGGGAAAAAATCATAAAGAATTTTTATACGGTGTTTTGTCCTTTTTTACTCTCTCGGTGTCTTCAATTTATCCAACATCTTTTTCTTTAAAACTTCTTTTTTTTCAAAACGGTAATTTTCTCCTTTTGTTGTATCTGTTAATTTATATAAGACATATCAAATATCAAATTCCCTCTGAAAAACTATTCGTTTCCATTATCTCTCCTTATAGCTATTTTCGGGTTCTGTGCTCAATCACCAATAAATTGTAACAAAAGAAATCACCGTAAATATCCATGATTTCATAGAACGATATTTTGCTTTACAATATACACGTGCCTATATTACCTTATGCACGTGTACTTATATTTGTTTATTAAACACTGACCAATGTTCCGAATTGGACATTTAACTTCAAAAGCGGGAATAGATTTATTTGTTTATCCAAGGAGCTTATCTCCTTGGTTTATCAAACTACAGTTTATAATCATTCGAAGCTCAGTGTTCAGTGCAGCTAAACAACTATTTATATGGAGAATGTATATATTTTTTATATTTATTTGTATGCCAACTGTTTTTGTTTTGCTTTGTGGATGATTTCAACATGGCAGCGGCCAGTGCAGATGTCATATATGACGGACTTTTTCTTAATATTTTTTGTGTAATTAATCTAATAAAGTTAGCTGATTATATAATGATATGGTGTTTTTTTTTTTTTTTATGTATTAGCCTAAGTGTTCCGGTTTAAGGAGTAACTACTTTATATTCGATTGAGGAACGAATGAGAACATAAGTAAATTGAATGATATAAAAATTAAATGTCCTATATCAAATCGTTTGGGTACACGTACACGAAGACAGTGTACTGTGTTTAGTATGTATAACCTGAAGCAAGGACTTACAACTAACATATATACGTCATTGACTGAGGGAACAAGTATATGTAAGAGAATGATAATCATCTCATTACTTCGATAAACTTCGAAATCCTTTTGTAAATGTTCTTTTAAGTCCGGATAAACTTTTTATATATTTGGAGATTCATTTTCAAGCCTGTATGCTAAACATGGTTAAAGAAACAAATATTTAAATTTGTTTTTATAAGGTCCACATTGCCTATGTTAACCAGTACAATTTAATTACATATGGAGATTGGTTATCTCAAACATTTTCTCCCAACTTAATTCACGAGCAGGAGGAATGCGCACCAAAATCCAGAAGAGTGTTTAATTTTTTAAACATAAAATGCATTTACATTTTTTTCTCTCTCATCTAAATCATACAATGTCTGAAACTTTTCCCAAGACGTTTGTGTTTACTCTGTACACATTATAGTTTAAACACGACCACATTTGTCAATATACCTTCTGATGTACCACTTTAATGTCGAAATAATAAGTGACAAACGGAAAGTGTAAAGGTCATTGGCCTGTTAAATTTCCGTTTTGTAAACCGAACTAACACTTGACAAGTGAATATGTAAAGGATTGAGGCGAAATAGTTCACAAAAGAATTCAATTCAATGAGATTATAACTTAACGTGATATTTTTAAAACACGTGTCCGTTCACGAGGTCTAGGTTATGCAAGTATGTTATGAAACATTTAAATATAAACAAGACCATTAAACATTTGTATAACAGTCTGAAGCAACTTTTGACAAGTCCACAAGGTAAGAAAATCATTCTTTAATTGCATAAATAATTATTATTTTATGTTTTATAAACGACATCATAGCAAATTAAAACTAATATAAGAGATTAATATTTCTGTGGTTTTTTTTTAATAATCAGTTAATATTTGGTTGTGTACAGTGAATGAAAGGTATAACCTCATTATTTCTAACTTCATATGAAGTGAACAGGTAAATGCAAATTATTGAGAGAGTAAAGAATTAATAACTAACACGGCCTTCAACTGACCAAATAACGTCTATTTTAAAATAATTTTCAACTCTCAATGCGGCATGGTTTAGCGTGAACTATCGGGAGTATTTTATTCCTGGAGTACATTCACTTTTTAGCTCATCTGGCTAAAAGCCAGTGTGAACTTTGCCATCAATCGTTACTAAAACAGAACTGATACAGTGAAATATCGTCAGGCTTGAAATGCCAAGTACTATTGAGACGTGTTGTTCTGTGGTAATTTTTACATCCTAGTAATGATATTTTTTTTCAAAAATGGCCGCCATTACTAAAAATAGTAAAATATGACCACAAATCGTTTATAAATCATCTTCTCCGAAACAACATGATCAATTTAAACCATACTTTGGTGGAATGGTCCATGAGTGGTTATTTTTTCGATCATGTTTGATGATCCAGCCTCCAACCAAAAGATGAACTGCTGTAAACATAAAGTTGTGACATATCATATTCATATGACTTCAATTGGCAAGCACTGTTGACGCGTGTTGTGTTTGTAACTTAAGGTTCATCATAACAAATTGACAAAAATGGCTGTATTTACACCTCAAAAACTACTCTGTGTACAGACTTACCTGTGCAGTTGGAAAAGTTTTAAGGCCTGGCATCCATTAGATATATAAAAGTTGAATGCATTTTGTGTTTCAGAAAGATAAAATCATTTTTTGATTTTGATGGGCATTTTTTTTCGTTCCTGCAGAAGGTGTAAAAATAAACTAAGTTGGGATACAACTTTGAGATGCTCCCTCTCAGGTAACAACTGTTTAATATTGTATTGATTGTCCTTGATTGGCTGGACAATAGACATACAATAGATATCTACACTTCTTTAGGTGATTTAAATGGTGTAACTGAGTGGACAGTATCAAATGCAATTCAGGTGTTTGTTTATTTTTACATCTTCTGCAGGAACGAAAAAAAAATGCCCATCAAAATCCAAAAATGATTTTATCTTTCTGAAACACAAAATGCATTTAACTTATATATCTAGTGGATGCCAGACCTTAAAACTTTCCAAACCGCACAGGTAAGTCTGTACACAGAGTAGTTTTTGAGGTGTAAATACAGCCATATTTGTCCATTTGTTATGATGAACCTTAAGCATTCCGGTAATGATACTTTCCCAAAAAAATTGGTCACTTGTACTAATAATTGAAAATTCAGCTAACAAATATAAAAAAAAATATCATTGTCTGAATCCACTGCGCCAATAAGAACCAGAGACATATATGTAAGAACCGAACTTTTCTGGTGTCTTGGGGAAATCCTCTTTGGTAATTGTTCCCGCACGAGTCTGCCTGGCAACTGATGCACCAAAAAAAAAAAAAACTTAGTACAAACTTAGGGTTGTAATAAGACTTAAAATGAGAAGTACTATTGAGTTGTGTTGATAATTGTTAACTTTTCACTAAGTTTTCAGTTTGAAAGCTGTTTAACTTTAGTTTAATAAATTTATTTATAGTTTTGTACTTGGCTACTGGAGCCTCTGGTTTTAATGGTTTTAAATTGTGATCAACTTCAAGCAAGTAACATTGTCATAAACACGTTTGACAAACCATGATAGATTAAAAGTGATCTTAGAAGAGAAATACGCATTACCAAAAACTAACAGAGTCATATGAAACAAATATCCAAAAAGAAAGGTAATAAAAAAAAAATAGATATTTGTCCTCGGAAATTTAAAATCGTATTACTGCATTCGGTTCAATTTGGCTGAAAGATGTTTTTATCCCTAGAACTACCACTGCCTACGACTGTTCGATATTACAATTAATGTCTGCTACCGTTTATAAAATGTAAGGTATTAGTTGCAAAAACGCAATTTGAGTATTAAAATTTAAAGTTTGTTATAAAGATTGCATTAATTCATAAAAAAATATTAATTTGTTTCAGAATATGGATCGCATTACCTATGTTGTGTTGCTGGTAGCGGCATGTGTTATGTACGCTGTGGCAACCATCTTTAATTCACTATCGGGAGGCGGCCCAAATGGTAAGTATTTAAAAAATCATTTTTATTTATCATAACAAACAACTACTAATGAAGAACAAAAAGGAATGAAAAAGAAGAACAAGCTTTGGGAAATATCATGCAACACATAAGACAAATCGGAGTTAATTAGTATTTATGTGTTAAAAACAGATTACTCATGCAGTTAACGAAGCGATTTGTATTGGGTCCATTCTATTGTTTTGATTTTTAGCTTCCCTGGCCGATGGCCGTGTGAGTTTATGCGCTCGGCGACGTCCATCCGTTTCACATGTTGGTCCTCTTTTTGAGAATAAACGAATAGAAGACACTCCAACTTGGCAGAAATGTTTCTAACACCACTGTCCTTTTCAGTTGTTTATATATCCTGCTTTACGATTTGTTTTTTTATTTCATTCCAGCAATTTTTAAAAGCAATACTGGAGACATATCTGACAAATACTACCAAGAAGTTACACCAGCAGGTTGGACGTTCAGCATCTGGGGTGTGATATATATATGGCAAACATTATGGCTAATTTACGCAATAGTCAATATATTCCGGAAGACCGAATTAGGATTCGTATTCAACAACCCAGAATTGATGTCAGCGCCATTTTTCGTTGTATTTACGATCAACATGGGTTTGAATCTAGCCTGGATATTTCTGTTTGATAGACAATATTTGGAGCCATGTCTAGCGATTTTGTTTCTAATGTACGTTACTCTTTACATGTGTCTGTTCTTAAGCTACAGAGCGTTGGATCAAAATCTTCAGAGCCTTCAAAAGCAGGAAAGGAAAGCAGATATTTGGTTAACCCGAATATTGGTCCAAAATGGATTATCCGTTTACGCCACGTGGTGTACAATTGCAACAAACCTCAACTTAAGCATGGTACTCATATATAGATCTGCGTTGGACGTATCAGTTCATGATGGCGGAACTGTAGCTCTTTCAGTTATTGCTGCACAGATCCTTGTATTTGTTGTATTAGACTTTTTCGTTTGGGACAGATACACGCGATACACTTTAACACCATACTGTGTAGTCATTGTTGCTCTGATTGGAAGTTTGACCAAAAACTATTCTGAGGGTAACAGAAACTCAATTTTCACCATCGTTTTGTTGTCAATAGCCGGTGCTATTTTTATTATCAAAATAATTCTTACAATAGTGAGACACGTCAGAAATCCATTGAAGGGCATGGTTATCTCCGAAACAAAAGAAAATTTAAAGAATCAAGTTGTCTGATTTTATCCTCAAAATGTTAAGGCATTATGCATAATATTGACTGAACTAAAATTTTAGGATTGTCATTTTACGCAAATCCTGGTGCTAACGAAGTATCAACTGTGATTGATCAGATACCTCTATTTTCGTATGAAGAACAAAAATTGTGTACTGTTGAATGTATGGTTTTTTTCAATAATTTTTATAGTTAATTTAGTAACTGAATAAAGAATTGTGTACTTTCTAGTTTTATTCGTCTGTATACTCGACAACCCATTGTTACACCATAAGCCTCCCTAAGCTTATATCAAATATGTTGTATGTTCAGAAAACACCAAGAAGAACAGTTTGCACGAACATGTAAAGATTTCAGTTTCTCTCTGGAATGACTCAGAAAGGGTGTCCCCTCATAGTATGCTTGCTATTTTGAAATAAATTCACGATAAAGCAGCTTTGTATAAAATGTCAACGAACAAAAATTATTACAAGTGCTTATTTTGAAATGTGCTTTATTCAGTACTTTACATTAGTTTCAAGAGATGATTCTGTGACACCGGCACCAGAAAATGTATATCTATGTCTCGCCGTCTGCGACATTCATCACAGGCGGGACGAAATGCATATACACGTTGCAATATAAGATATATATATATACGAGCTTTAGAAACAGAAAGAAAAGCGAGGTCGAGTTGCTTTTCTGTTGTTTTGTAGAGAGAAAATAAATTGTATATTGCAATTTTACATTCGCGTAAAAACATTCAGTTTTTTTATACGACCGCAAAAAAATTTTTGTGGTCGTATATTGGTATGACGTTGGCGTCGTCGTCGTCGTCGTCGTCGTCCGGCGTCGTCGTCCGGCGTCGTCGTCCGAATACACAATGGTTTTCGCACTCTAACTTTAGTTTAAGTGAATGGATCTCTATGAAATTTTACCATAAGGTTCAATACCACAATAGGAAGGTGGGGATTGATTTTGGGGGTTATGGTACCAACAGTTAAATAATTAGGGGCCAAAAAGGGGCCGAAAATAAGCATTTTTGTAACTTCCAGACATAACTTGTGTGTTATTGTATGGATCTCTTTGACATTGTACTACAAGATTCCATATCACAAAGGGTTGATGCTGGGATTGATTTTGGGGTTAATTTCCTCGAAATTTTAGGAATAAGGGGCCAAAAGGGGGCAAAAAACAAGCATTTTTCTAGTTTCATGACAATAACTTGTGTGTTAGTGTATGGATCTTTCTGAAATTTTACTACAAGGTTCCATTTCACAAAGGGAAAGCTGGAATTGAGTTTTGTGGTAATTGCCCAAAACGTTTAGTAATAAGGGGCCTAAAAAGGGGTGAAAAATAAGCATTTTTTAGTTTCTAGACAATAACTTGTGTTCAAGTGTATGGATCTCTCTAAAATTGTATTACAAGGTACCATACCACAAAGGCAAGGCTGTTATTGAGCTTGGTTTGGGGGGGAAGGGGGGGTGATGAATCATAGGGGGGGGGGGGTCAAAAAAGGGGTAATTATTTTTTTTCCTTTTTTTTTGTTTAAAATTTACATTTTAAGTTAGTTTTTTTTATCATGAAGAGAATTTGGGGGGGGGGGGGGGGTGATGAATCATAAGGGGGAGGGGGGGTCCAAAAAGGGGTTATTATTTTTTTTCGTTTAAGGAATAAGGGGAAAAAAGGTTAAAAAACTAGGGTTTCCATTTTAATAGACAAATAATTGAGTAAAGAACATTATTTAAAAGCAGTGTAAGGTTGGTAATTCAAACTCATTTAAATATCTCACCTGCACTATGTTTGAATTATGTAAATTGGAAATTTGCCAATTATTTTAGTATAATAAACTTCATTGGAAATTTGCCAAAATAAAATTTTGCTGATGAAGGTTTTTTGTTTACCTTTAGTCTGACTATGATGTCATTTTCTATTTTAATAGCCTTATGATGTAGTTAAATTTTTTTTAATACTTTTATGATGTATTTTAATGCGCTTTTATGGTTGCAAATTTATTGTTTTAGTATAATAAACTCCATTGGAAATTTACCAATAGTTTGTTTATTTTTAGCTATGACTATGATGTCATTTTCTATTTAATTTTAAGGTTACAAATTAATTTCGAAATTTTAGGAATAAGTGGCCAAAAAAGGGGGCAAAAATAAGCATTTTTTTAGTTTCCAGACATTAACTTGTGTTCAAGTGTATGGATTTCTCTGAAATTGTACTTAAAGGTACCATACCACAAAGGGAAGTGGGTCAAAAAATTTTGGGGGGGGGGGATTTTTTTTCCTTTTTTTTTTCTTTAAAATTTTCCATTTTAAGTTGGTTAATTCTGATCACAAAGAGAAAGTTGGAATTGAGTTTGGGGGATAATTGCTCAAATGTTTAGGAATAAGGGGCTAAAAAAGGGGTTAAAAATAAGCATTTTTTTTTAGTTTCCAACAATTAATTGTGTTTAAGTAATTGGATCTCTGTGAAATTGTACTGCAAGGTACCATACCACAAACTGAAGGCTGGGATTGAGTTTGGGGGGGGCGTGATGTGTGAAAATTTTCCACTTAAAGTTGGTTAATTATTTCTGATTTAGATATAAAAGCAAATAATAATGATGTGGTTTGATTTTATCAAAAACTTAAATTGAAGTTATGTATATTGTAAATTTAGGTTACATTGGAATTTAAGAATTGGCTTTGGGGTAGGGTTATGGCTCAAACCTTTAAATAATAAGGGAAAAAAAGGTGAAAAAACAAGGGTTTCCAGGTTAATAGACAAATAAGTACAAAACATTATTTAAAAGCAGTGTAAGGTTGGTAATTCAAACTCATTTAAATATCTCACTTACACTGCTTTTAAATTATGTAAATTGGAAATTTGCCAATAACTTTATTGTTAATAAATGCATTGGAAATTTGCCAACAATTTTAGTATAATAAACTTCATTGGAAATTTGCCAATATAAAATTTTGCTGATGAAGGTTTTTTGTTTACCTTTAGCCTTGACTATGAAGTCATTTTCTATTTTTATAGCCTTATGATGTAGTTGAATTATTTAATACTTTTATGATGTGTTTAAATGGGGTTTTATGGTTGCAAATTTATTGTTTTAGTTTAATAAACTCCATTTAAAATTTGGTAATAAAAAAAATTTTTGTTTATTTTTAGCTATGATTATGATGTCATTTTCTATTTTACTTTTATGGTTGCAAAGAAATTTTTATTTTTAGATATTACTGTTAAATGATGCTGATTAAGGTTTTTGCTATGTTTAGCCATGACTATGATGTCATTTTCTATTTTAATATCTGTCATGATGTATTTAAATGGGCTTTTATGGTAACAAAGGAATTTTATTTTTAGATATTACTGTAAAATGTTGCTGATTAAGGATTTTGTTTATTTTTAGCCATGACTATGATGTCATTTTCTATTTTAATACCTTTATTATGTAATTTCCATTTTTAGATATTACTGTTAAATGATGCTGATTGAGGGTTTGAATGCTGGGATTGATTTTGGGGGTAATTGCCTCCAAATTTTAGGAATTAGGGGGCAAAAAACAAGCATTTTTCTAGTTTCATGACAATAACTTGTGTGTAAGTGTATGGATATTTATGAAATTGTACTACAAGGTTCCATATCACAAAGGGAAAGCTGGAATTGAGTTTGGGGGTACTTGCCCAAAACGTTTAGGAATAAGGGGCCAAAAATAAGCATTTTTCTAGTTTCCAGACAATAACTTGTGTTCAAGTGTATGGATCTCTCTGAAATTGTACTGCAAGGTACCATACCACAAAGGGAAGGCTGGGATTGTTTTTGGGGGTAATTGTCTCATAATGTTAGGAATTAGGGGCCATAAAGGGGCAAAAAAACAAGCATTTTTCTAGTTTCATGACAATAACTTGTGTGTAAGTGTATGGATCTTTATGACATTGTACTGCAAGGTTCCATATCACAAAGGGAAAGCTGGGTTTGAGTTTGGGGGTAATTGCCCTAAACGTTTAGAAATTTGGGGCCAAAAAGGTGCAAAAAAACCAAGCATTTTTCTAGTTTCCAGACAATAATTTGTGTTCATGTGTATGGATCTCTCTGAAATTGTACTGCAAGGTACCATACCACAAAGGGAAGGCTGGGATTGATTTTGGGGGTGATGAATCATAAGGGGGTTTCAAAAAATTTGGGGGGGGGGGATTTTTTTTTCCTTTTTTTTCTTTAAAATTTTCCATTTTAAATTGGTTATTTCTGATTTATATATAAAAGCAAATAATAATGATATGGTTTGAATAGGTAAATTAAAAAATTTTAAGTTCTTAGACTACTTTCATTCTGTGTGAGAAACCTATGCTGTGTCAAATATTTAATTACAATCCAAATTCAGTGCTGTATCAAGCTTGAATGTTGTGTCCATACTTGCCCCAACTGTTCAGGGTTCGACCTCTGCGGTCGTATCAAGCTGCGCCCCAGCGGAGCATTTTATTTTATTCCCAAATGCTGTCTTTTATTTAAGTAGGGAAAAAAAACATAAAAAGATCACGACATGGCTGAAACATGGACTGCCAACCGGACCCAAAAATGAAATGCGACGACAACAGTTTACTGTTCTTTCAACATAGAAGCAGGATATATAATGAGAAGACTTTATTAGTCCCCTACCGACGAAGTCGAAGGGGACTTTAGGTTTGCACGCCGTCCGTCTGTCTGTCCATAGATATAATAGCCATAGATAAAGTACTCAGAATATGTCACACTGAGCCCCATGTAGTTTTCTTTGAAATATCAAAAGCACGGCACGGCGCGTAGTGGCCTGTGATGTAGATAATATTTGCCGACATCCTCCCAATAGACTAATTACTTATCATAATTATATTTAAATTATCGGGCACTCGTCTTATCAGCCGATAATTAATATGCGTTACCTGTCTCAAGTAAATATATGCCGTGAGGCGGAAGCAATAAAAAGCGTCTGGTTGTAAAAGTGGTTCGTATTGTAATTTATTTGGAGAAAAACGGTCAACAAATGAAAAGGTTATGCTGATGTTGAAATAATAAAATAGAGAAATCATGGAAAATGGACTTAACAGGTATGTATAATTAAATTGTCATAGCACTTGCATCGGTTGCACTCGGGAAATAAGACCTGCATGATTGAAAAGAGGAGACATATCGTTTACTGATGGTATACGTGGTTAAGAGGTCGAACCTGGTCGAATTTTTCTATGGCGAGTTCAAGAAATTTCTTTTTTATCGAGAT